CAACTTGGCTAGATGGCATAAGAAAAATTAATGGTGTTAAATATGCTTATCGAAGAGCACGTGAACTATCTAGCACAGTTGCAATTAAAACTTTGTCCGGTTCAAAGGAGAACTCTTCTAATATTTTATATGAAGTAAGTTAAAATAACAGTACTTAATTTATTATATAAATTATTTGACTTTTAAACTAATTTATTATATTCCTTAGTTTAAAAACCATGTGCAATGTATAAATTATGGTAATAAACTTAAAATATATGGATTAACACAAAATACAGAAACTAATGAATACTTGATGGTATTGCAATATGCTGATAAAGGAAATCTTCACAAGTTTTTAAAAGTAGGATTCAGAGATCTTAAATGGGAAAGTAAATTAAACCAACTTAATGATATCATATATGATTTAAATACGATTCACTCTGCAGGATATGTTCATGCTGACTTCCACAGCGGTAATATTTTGCAAAATAAACACAGTAAAAGTATCAAATCTTACGTTGCAGATCTTGGATTATCCAGAAAAGAAGATAAACATAAATTAAAAGATGATATTTATGGAGTTATGCCCTATGTTGCACCAGAAGTTTTGTCAGGAGAACAACCATTTACAAAAAATTCAGATATCTATAGCTTCGGTGTTATTATGGCAGAAATGTCAACCGGAAAAAGGCCTTTCGATGGATGTAAATTTGATACTAAACTTGCTGTAAGGATCTATAAAGGAGAACGTCCAGAATTTGCTGCTGGAACGCCTAAATGCTACATTAAATTAGCTAAGAAATGCATGGATTCTGATCCGCAAAAACGGCCTACTGCTTATAATACTTGGTATACAATTGATGGTTGGCTTAAAAAAATAGCAAGTTCAGATAAAGAAAATCAAATTAATAAGCAATTTTCAGATGCCGATAAATACATTACAACATTGCCAATAATTTCTCCAAGTCATCCAGATCATATGTACACCAGCAAAATGATTAGCGTAAAGTTGATTTCAAAGGCTATTAAAGAAGGTAGTATTATTTTATTTTTTAATTAAAATTATGTTTATTAATTTAATTTAAAATAATAAAATATTTTTATTCAGATATTTCTCAAACTGATTCTGCTCAGATTAAACTTGATATTACTAAGAATGTTTAAAGTTTTTGACATAATATATATTAAATTAATTATTATTATAACGAATAACTGCTCAAATTTTATTTAACCTTGTTATTCAAGTTAAATAATTACAAAAAAAAGTCATATGTTACAGCTGTTTTCATAAATTCCGTGACAAACTAAAAATTTGTTCGTTTTACCAAAATCTCTTCAGTTTAGTCCCAACCTTTGGAAACTAGTCGTTATTTCCAGAAATAGAGAAATAAAATAATTATTAAGATTATTTATCTAAAGATTACTTTTTATATATTTCGCCATCTTAGAATATTTCGACATCCTAAAAGTATTTGACATTCTAAAATATTTATGACATCCTAAATATTTATGACGTCCTAAAATAATTTTAGCATTTAAATTTTCGTCAAGGGCAAAATAATTTAGACACCATGTATAAGTATGCTTCAAATTTCACTTAAATGCTTCATTCTCAACTTCACGCTTTTGAGATAAATTTTGGCTTTATTTCCATCCATTTTAACACCAACTCCATTGCGACAACGATTGATAACAATTTCATAACCAGTATTGCGTGTACAGATAGGAATTCCCATTCTATTCAACTCTTGGCAAGATTCGAACACGTCATGTATATTCCTTTTAATCCCTATTCCATAACGTTTGTTATCTTGATACATTCTTTAGAGCCTTCATATCAGCTGATTTCTGATAATGATTGCTTTTAGGACCAGTTATTTTACTTTATCGTATGATCATGGCTTTTTTTTGCACTGATATTTTTATGCACAAAATGTTACACAAGCTAATATTTTACAAATGCACAATTATTAAAGCAATACTCAACACGGATATTCAACAAATCCTTAATATTTATGCATTAAAAAGCTAAGTACACATTATATTTTATTACATATTTTTAATAATTTTTTTTTACATGCAATAATGTCAATACTAACAATTATTTTATTTAAAGTGACCCAAAATTAAAAGTGCAATTATGAAACACATTCTCAGTAAGGAAATTTTCAAATGCTTCATTATTCATTAGTTGCTTTTGATCTTTTAGTTCTTCAGTATTGCTTATTGAATTCAGTTCATCTTTTTGCATATTTTGGTCGAGTTCGATCAATGCTTCTCATAGAGATTCAGGTAGATCAGCTGCTGAGAATTCTTCAATTGTATTAAATAATGAATAATTACTTGCCAATATAAAATCATTATGTATTTTTGTAGACTTTTCGCCTTGACTAGTTATTTCACTAATATCAAGATTTTGTGGTTCAGGAGGTGGTAAATTTGAAACAAGTATCAATGCATTAAAAAATCTATTTAATCCTTGTTGTTGCATCACTGATTTGGGATATTCATATGATGCTAAACCTTGTAAGGTCTTGTGGCAAGTAATAGACATAATGACTAAATTAATGCGAATGAAATGATTTGAAGAGTATTAGGTAATTAATTGTAAATAAGTATTTAGAGATAAGTATTTATGAATAAGTATTTATGTTTATCATCTTTATACTCACATACTAAAATTAAATATAAATGAAATAAATAATTTGAAAGTAAGATTAATAAATTGTGAACATGTATGCTATTTTTAAATCCAAAACTTCTTTATACTCACGGGCTAAATTAATACAAAAATAAACCATTTATAAATGTGAATTACATACAGACTTTTAATATATAACTATTACTTATTTATTCTTACTCCCTAATAATTAAATTATATAAGTGACGTTAAAAATACTGAACCAAAAATTAAAATTACACTTACTTTTTACTTCATTCTAAATATTTATTTTCATCCTTTTCTACGCCAATTCCATAACAGTAGCAAATAGCAGTTTTAAAGATTCCGATAGAATTGCTCATTTCAGCTGATTTTAAATAATGCTCAAATGCTTTGCGTTTATCCACTTCAACTCCAATCCCATTATAATAACAAAAACCAACTTGAAATATTCCGTTAGAATTATTAAATTCTACAGATTTCTGATAGTTTGCGAACGCCTTATACACATCCTTTTCTACACCAATTCCATGTTCATAACAATAACCAAGCATAAATATTTCATCAGAATTCCCCTCATCTACTAATTTTTTATAATTAGTAAAACTTAATTCATCTAATTTGCTAGTCATTTTAGTAATTTCTTCTGACATTTTGCTTATATCAAGAACAAATCACGTGACTATGCGACACGATAATTGATATACGGGTTCAAAATATATATATAAATTGCTTGCTGAATGCGGAACAAAATAAATATTTTACAATATGTATGCTACCTGCGTATATTTGAGCGATATACTATTTTGACCAATCAAATGTCAAGATCTTTTAACGAATAAAATTTTACGTACTACGGGTATTCCTAAAATAATGTTGTGATAATTTCCAATCGTGGAAGGCTTCAATTGAGGTGTGAAAGACAATGGTCCGAGTTTATAGTTAATTCTTGCTTCGGGGGCTTCGTTGAGTAAGATTTTTTCTTCTTATGGTCTAATCTTAATTTTCTTTTCTTTTAATTCTCTATAATTTTATGCAATGCAATAGCTGTAGCACTAAAAAAAATCCAAATATGCACACTGTTGTTCATTGATTATTATCAAATATTGAGAGCGTCATAAAATTTTGCATGGAATTTTTTTTTTTTTTTTTTGAGAAAAAAAATTGATTTTTATGTTACACCAGATATTGAAATGTAAATAGGTTTTTGGACATTCAATAATAACGATGAGTGACTCACTGCTAATACTGCAATACCGATAACATTGGTGAGTTACAAAATTTCACCTGACTATAAGGACTCGGTTTCAAGCATGACTCGGGACTAAAGATGGCAAACGATTTACAGCTGTTATCATTATTTCTGGAACACCTGATAATTTTTGCTCGCTACCGAATCATTCTCAGTTTCATCCAATAAATTACCTAATCTCTCGGAAACTATGTCGTTGTCTTCAGACTGAGAATTCGAAGACAGTGATATAGTTTCCGAGAGATTAAGCAGTTTACCGGATAAAACTGAGAATGATTCGGTAGCGAGCAAAAATTATCAGGTGTCCCAGAAATAATGATAACAGCTGTAAAACAAATTGTTTTAAAGCAATATAAAACTGATCTAAAATGTTTTATTGTTTTGTTTTAAAAACATCGTCACTGATATTGATATTATTATTTTTGTATTACTCACAAAATGATGACAAATGAATTTGTACAGCTTATTTTGAATTAACTAATCACATGTGGTAATTCAGTTTAAACCATCAGCATCGATATTTTAAAACATTATATCGATATTAAATCATTAAAAGACGTTTTTTTGCCATCCCTACTCGGGACCGAGTATAAATTAAAACTCGTCACATCCCTACGTTCAGGCGCATTTTAGGGAATTGGACCTCAATTAAAACTACGTATCTCAAAATCAATAAACTTATATATTATTTACGTCCCCACCTTAAAACCCATTTCTTTTTATTAATTAAAAATTTAAATATTTTTTTTTTTTAATATTAAACATACCTCATATTGTGCGTCACAAATTTTGGAATATTGTAAAAAGTCGCCCGAATGGACTATAATTTATCGGCTAAGCTGTCTTAGCCGTGGTTTCTTTAGCCGGCTCAATATAATACATACTATCTGCTATATAATGTAATATAAACACAAATTTGATTGGCTAAATATTTGATGTTACGCATAGAAAATCAACAAACCGGGGCACTGCTTTAAAAATTTTAAAATTTCAATTTTTTTGTTTTCTGAAATGAATGGTACGCGTATATTTGAAAGAATTGAATATATCCGTTTTTTTTTATAATTAACATAAACATAAATTACTTCATCGGATGGCTATCATATGAAATATCGATTAGATTATAAAGAAGAACAAGAACAAGAATTAGAAGTATTAAAATCAATTTATCCGGATGAATTGGAAGGTATTTGATTGTATGGATTAAATATTTCATTTTTTTTTTTTTTTTCTTTAAAATTACGATGTCTTGTCGGTTAAATGAGAAACATCATGATTCATTCATTGAGGAATTGGATTTATTTGAAAAATGAAAATAGTGATACGAGATTTAAGCCTTTATTTATATCTATTCTCTGATACGAAATCTCATCAATAAAAGAAATAGGCGAAGGAGAATTTCGTATAACGTTAATTCCAGAAGAACAGGATAGTTCAACACCGCGTAAGGTTTTACATCATCTATTTTATTCAATTATTTCTACTAATTCATGATTCCTTCGTCTCTTAATTTTTTTTTTTTTTTTTTGAATCAATTTTTTGATAACTGATTGTTTATGCTAGTTGTTTTGGCGTTACGTATAAAATATACACCTACATATCCGGAGGAAATTCCTGAGATATCATTAGAAGTTTTAGAAGGTTCACTAGAAGAGAATGAACATGATAAATTATACACAGATCTTACGAACATGGTAATTAATTAATTTCTCTTTAAAAAATTTTCATTTACTGTAATTAATTTTCGATTATTTCGAAGGCTCGGGATTCAATAGGGATTGCAATGGTATTCACATTATCATCATTCCTCAAAGATTCCTTAACAACATTTGTGATAGAACGTCAGGAACAAAGAAAGAAAGTCGAAGAAGATCGAATTCGAAAAGAAATCGAGGTATGGTCTGTGTTTTTTATCCTTTTTGATGTATAAAAAAAAGCTAACAATTGGTTTCTGTAGGAAGAACAAGCAAAATTTCAAGGCACAAGAGTAACAATAGCATCATTCTTGGAATGGAGAGAAAATTTTGAACGAGAAATAGCAGAAAGAGAAAAAACTACAAAAAGTTTAACTTTATTAAGAAAAGAGGAACTCAGAAGGAATAAACTCACTGGTATAATTTCTTCGCTTGCTAAGTTTGCGTTGTTATACTATTACTTTTATAACCTTTTTATAATATTTAGGTCGACAACTATTCGAACAAGACGAAGCGTTAGCTAGATCTGACGTAACATTTATGGAAGAGGGTGATGTTACAGTGGATATTTCGCTATTTGAAAGAGAGTTTGATATGGAAAGTGAAGATGATGAAAATAGTGTTCTTGATTTAGTAAGGAGTAGTACTGATTAGGGATGGGATGGCCAAAACTTAAGCCATGGTTTAAAGCTATAATTCAAGTTATGGGCTTAAAACTATGGCTTGAACTATATTTCAAACAAAAATTTAAAACTAACTTATTATACTGCATAATACTTAATTATTACATATTGTAACTTAAAAAATAACTTAATAAATATCAGATATGTAATACTGTATATAAATGCAAGTTATACAGATCGACGCTTATATAAGTTTACTTTTTTTATTTTGTGATTTTAATTAGAAAAAAAGCTTTGGTTTTGTTATATAAGATATAAAAGTTCGAAAAGAAGTATATATTTATAATAAGATAGAAATTGTTTGTAGCAGAGAACTTCAGTATGTGATGATGTATTGGTAACTTAAAATTTTCCATAGAGGAAGCTTGGGTCCGACTAGGATCGTGAAATGGGTAATTTCTTAAATAGGAAGATATCATTTTATTAATCAGAATATAATTAAAATTAACAAACTATATCTATTTTCTATATTGTAATCAATGTTTGATCAATTTGATATAATATTTACATTTAAGATGAAGCAAAATTTGATCAAGAATTATAGCAATCAATCGTATTACGCAACAAAAATTATAATACGAAGAGAATTTGTTCAACCAACAAATTATCAAGATTTGATCAGAAGACCATATATTTATTAATTAGTAAAATATACAAATAAATACACTAAGTACGTTAATCTTTGAAGCAGTTTGGCGATTAATTAGCCATATAAATCAAATTTATAAAAATTTAAACAATGTTTGTTATATAACAGATAAGAGCAAATTAAATCAAAAGTTTTTTTTTTTATTTGAATTATTGAAAAAATAAACGTTTTTTTTTTTTTTTTTTGAGATAAACACACACGTAAAAAAGGTTTAATTTAATAAACAGTTAATATACATTTAAATAAATCAAAATCCCGAGGACGTGAAAAAAAAAAAACTTATTAAAATAATATAACACCATGCAAAAAAAAAACCATATATCGAATAACAAAAATTTTATGTCATTCAAATTATGGGTTTATTAATAATTAAATTCAGAATTAATTACATCCACCCCTTTTTTCAAATATATTAATATCATCAATCTTTATATAAAACTGTATCAAATACTGAATCCCAGAATTTACTTGTAATTCCATATCCAACTTCATAATTTTTATAATGATGAGCTAAATGATATGATTTCATCTCCCTAAGGTGTTGAGTAAATGGACGCGCATGATGAAGATGATAATGAGTCATATCATAACATACATAACCAAATATTGCACCAGAAATCAAACCACATGCAATATTTTCGGGAAAAATCATATATCCAAGTTGAATGATTGGGTAAGCGATGCAAAAACCGAGAATAGGTGGCATTACAAGACGAAGTCTTAAGGTATTAATGATTAAGTTAATTCGGACAGATTTGAATAAACAAATAAAAAAAAAAATATATATATATATTTCAATGAAAAAAAATATCTTACCTATCCATTGGTAAGTAATGATGAATACCATGTAGAGCAAAATGCACAGAAAGTGCGTAAGGATGATCGGGTAGAAGAGTGTCAATATGAAATAAAAATCTATGAAGTGTATATTCTAATAAAGTCCAAATTCCAATACCGAAGAGGAATAATACGATAATGGTTCGCGAACTTAAACTTCCTGACGCCATATATATATAATACGAAATTGCTGGAATCCAAAGAATAGGAATAGCATACCAAGGTGTTTTTGTTAACAATTCTAACATTGGATTCGCAAATAATTTAGCTGAATAAGGGAGATGACGTGGTTGATGAATTTGTTTAAGATAGAATTCTTTGCTGAAATTGCAATTGAACATTTGAGCAAATAACGGCTTATTAAGATTTAAGAATTTTTCATTAAGGTCGGACTTTATATCTGTTGTTTCGGGATGAAATTTATCAACTGTTCGTTCATCGAATATAGAATCTACATCCTTAACTTGTGAGGTAACAGTATTGTCAACTATTTCACCAATACATAAATCCGCCAATAATTCATATGCGCTCTGAGTATGTTCGTGTAAAGTGGGGCTGGTCATAATTTTCGAAACATCTCGTCCTCCCCATTCCAAAAGTACTTCAGCACCACCTGGGTGGTCGAGGGCAAATTCTGTCAGGTCATAAACTTTATTGTTATGGATGACCCAAAGTTTCTTTTTAGTATTTTGCTTGGAAACTTCTTCACGAGAATAACGAAACAAGATCCGTCCGGGCATAATGACAAAGGATTTGAAGATCGGAAATTTAATTATTACAGGACAAAATCATAAAAGCCCTTCGAAAATAAACACTATCGTGCTTTGTTCCTTTGATCGCGACAATGTACTGTCAGTGACTTTTTTAAAAACGTACAAGATCTTATTAAAAATAAACAATCTAACTTTCTCCATTTTTATTGGCTAAAAAATGATTGACCTAATTATAGCCGGTATACCGCACAAAAATTTTTTTTATAGAACGCAATTTTTTAATTTTTACGCGTAATTTTGCCCTGTTATTATAACGAATAAATATAATTATTTTTTTTAAAAAAAAATTACATCATAGATATTTGCTATATCGGTAATTTGAGTAAAAAACGCTTCAAAAACTTTAATAAGATCAATTTTGAGCATCATGCATACTAATTAATATTTTTATTATATTATATATTATTTTATGAAATTGACAATTTTTACTGTTAATATTATTAACAATCGAAGAAAAAAAAAAAAAAAAAAAAAAAAAAAAATAAAATTTTATAATAGTTTTAAAGCATTATAATAAAAAAAATAATGCCAATATGCAAAGAAATGTAAAAAACAAATGCAAAGCTGTACAATTTACATGTGTTGTTTTCGCCTAATAAAAAAAGAAAAAAAAAAAAAAAATTTTTGACATGACAAAATACACCGCACATATACTCGATTCTAAATATATGTTACATGATCATATAAATGCTATAATTCTACCACAAT